ATAAGAGCTTTTATACTTGTCAAAGGGAATAAAGAGGTACCACACCCCGGGGATTTAGCTCAGTGGTTCTGCCGCCTGCCTCGCAAGTGCAAGGACCTGAGTTCGATCCCCAGTACCAAAACAAAAACCACAACAACAACAACAAAGAGGTACCAGGCTGTTATTTTTCAAATTATGCTGCATTGCTTTTGTGTAGACCGCCAAGGAACATTCTTCATAAACCTGCTATGTGAAGATATAAATTTGTAACTTGATAATTTTCCCCCCAACTTTCTCCCATTCTTGCTTTGTCTTCATTTCTCTACCTCTTTGTAGGAGATCATTATTCACGGGTCAAGAAAGATTCAATGAATTGTGAAGAAAGGAAATTTATGAAGGCAAATCACTCAACTGTAGTGTGCACAAATAAGAATTTATTGTCATGATACAACGACCTGTTTCTATTTATAACTTTGGTCCTGGGAAAAATAAAATGCAGTGTATTTCCATGTGAGAAGATCAGTTTTTGAGCCACCTGTCTAACAGAGGTGGGCCTTGTGTGGAAGGGATTGGGGCATCGCTGAATCGCATTGTTTCTTTCTTTTGGAAACAATTCAAGCTCAAAATTTTGACATGCGCGCCACCACACCCAGCAGGAAAAAGTTTTTAAAGTTGTGTTATAACACACATACCACAACATGCATAAATTCTAAGTGTACAGCTTGATAGATAAAAGTATTGGTTACATCTTGCACAGAGGCATAAGGCTGAGCCACCCTCTCTGCAAGATGTAACTAACAACTTTATCACTTTCACCAGCTATTAGTTTTCCCTGTTTCTGAACTTCGTATAAAGAGAATCTGTGTGGTGTGATCAAAATATACAGTGAACGTTTAAACTTTAAAAATTATTGCAAAGATACATTGCCATTAAACCCCTCAAAATAAATACTCCCTCTCACTTAGAACACAATTATCCCACAGTTCCTGTCACTTTCTGAAGCAGCTCTGAAGTCCTCTTTCATGAGTGCCTTTAACTGTGCTATCGTGTCTCCCTTACCGTCCTGAAATGATTCAAAACCTTTACCTTTCAGGGGAATTTTTTTTAAATTTTGGTGGTACCGGGGATCAAACTCAGGACCTTGTGCTTGTGAGGCAGGCGGCAGAATCACTGAGCTATATTGCCAGCCCCTCATGGGCATTTTGACTTTAGGGGAGACCCAGAAGTTGCACCACTCCGGATCTGATAAGGTATATGAACACATTGTAACATTTTTATTTGACAGAAATTGCCATAAACTGTAAACTGGTTCATAAAGTGGGGAACACTATGGAATAATTGGGTTCTAAAGGAGTGGGAATATTGTAAGGGCGATCCATATATATTTGTTACTGTGATAAAATTTTACATTTAAATATTCATTATATTTTTTGACCATGCTTCAGACATTATGAATTCATGTCTACCTTACCATAGCAGGCAGGCATCAGGCTGATTGTGTGTGTGTGTGTGTGTGCGTGTGTGTGTAATGAAGGATTGGATTCAGGGCCTTTGCACTGAGCTTTTGTTTAATTTGAGACAGAGTCTTGCTAATTTGCCCAGGTTGGGCGAGGATTTGCAATCTTCCTGCCTCAGCTTCCAAAAGTGCTAGACAGATAGGCATTGCCCCACTGTGCCTCTCGGCTGATTTCTTTTCACTCAACTGTTCTCTGATAGATTTGGGCCAAATTGCTAGTTTCTGCGATTTTTCAGAGATCTATCAGCAGCCTAGATATTGAACAGATAGATAGCCTTCTCATAAGGTCTGAGTTACTCTATTTGGAGGAAAGGGCATCCATTCACTCATTTACTTATTTACTCATAAAATATGCATCAACATGTACCATGGGCCAAGCAAAGCAGTAGTATTGCTGGAAGGATGATAAATGAAATGAACACATGGGTCTGGGATTTGGCTCAGTGGTGCTGCCACCTGCCTTGCAAGTGCAAGGTCCTGAGTTCAATCCCCAGTACCCCCACACCCCCAAAAAGAACACAATGATGAACTTTAGGAATTTACAGTCTAGTGGCAAAGATAGACAAAAAGCAAGCAAATATACAAATGGTGATTGACAAGTGGCCTAAAAGCAAAGCATACGAGGAAAGAGCACTACAGGAATTTCACTTCAGGGGCCTCTGAGGAAGTGAAGTCTAAATAGAAGCCTGGAGGATGAGAAGCAGCTGGGCCGGTGGAGCCTGGGGGAAGAGCTACCCAGGCCAACAGCACAGGCAGAGGCCTGCAGGGGGACAGCACTGCCCACGGAGGCCTCCAGCAGAGTCCGCCTGCCCACTGCCTGTGGAGCTGGGAAGAAGTAGTTCTGCGATACAACCGGAGAGCGGGGAAAGACAGCCACTCAGGGACTCTGCCGCTTGTGTCTGAGGACCTGACATTGATTTGGACCCTGAGCGTCTGTGGTCTGAGTTCCTATGGGATGTTTGGTGAAAATGAGCACAGGGAGTGAGTGTCCTGCAGCCCGGCACAGAGGGAAAGAAGGACCACCTGCTGCGCACACCTTCGGTGTTCTGATGTCTCTGGGAATAGCACAGAAAAGGGTTTCAGGGAAACCCTGCTGGGATGGAATCCAGGACTTCTGATACCAATTTAGACTCTAGGGTAGCAATTCAGGTCCAAGTATTTTTCATTTCAGCATTGTGATCCAAGGAGTATTTTATCACTAACGTTAAGAATGGTTAAACCATGGCAGTAATCAAACGGAGACGGATTCTCTGCAGAAAATGTTCCTTCTATTGCTTGTGACCAGGCTGAATGTTCTCATTTGGTACACAATACCCCACACCCACGACTTACAGGACGAGAGGATTATTTTAGCTCAGGGTCGCAGTTCATGACCAGTTGGCTAAAGGCAGGGAGTCATAATGCAAGTGTCTGGCAGAGAGAAGGTCAGGAAGCAGAGAGTGAAGGGAGGAGCCATCTGGGAGGGACACAGACCCTTCCACGCCATTTCCCCGCCTTCCCTTCAGACCAGGCCCCACCTCCTAACAGCAAGTCAGCTATGGATTCATCAGCAGATTAGCTCACGGCTGAGTACAATGTCCTCATGATCCCAGCACCTTCTGTAAGCCCTGCCCTGAGCGCATGAGGCTCTGGGAGACGGGTGGCTTCTTCATCTAAACCATGACATTCAGATACATCTTTGTTCTGAAGAATTGACCTTGGGGAATTTTTTTTTAGAGATTTTTTTGGGGCTTACCAGAGATTGAACTCAAGCCTTGCACTTGTGAGGCAGGCGGCGGCACCACTGAGCTAAATCCCCGGCCCTCCTTGGGGAATTTTTGTTTCAGCCATGAAAGTAGTTTAAAACTTAAAGCTTGAGAAGTTCAGAAAGGGTTTCCTGTTTTCAAAAATTCAAAAATTCTCCGATTCCAGGCTAAGATTATATAATTAAACACAGAAGAAAACGATGAATTCTCAGTAAAAATCTAATGGAACACTCATTCCGCTTTTCATGTGATGGTAGTGAGATGTTATATGACTTATGCAAAATATTTATACATTATTCATGGTAGTTAAAGGTTTTACTGCTAGTACCAGGAGGGTTTTGGATCGCAGCACTTCTCAAATGGGTGGTCTTAGGACCCCTTAGCACTCTAATACTGAGAATTTTTAAAAGCCTTTTTAAATCTTAGAAAATCCAGTAAGTCACTAGCTCATGTTCCATTAACTGTCAGAGAAATGACACCATCACACTCCGTGAAGTATCTAGAAAACTCCACTGTACTCCAGAAGAGATTCAGAGTAGGAAAGGCAATCATGGTGTCTCTCCTCGGGGGTTCCTGGACTACATAACCATTCGAAATGCTGGCATAGAGCTTGATAATATGGGCTTTAGACAACTTAAAATTTACCTTTCACCTGCAATAATATTCTCTGAGAGTTGCTATCTTCAGCTATAAAATGGGTACAATATACTTACCCTACTAACTTATGGTGAGGGAATTACAGACAATGTATCAGCTATGAATCTTTATGCTGCAAAGATTAAGAAACTTAGCTTAAGATAAAGGGTACATTTAATGGCTCCCTCTTCTTAGCATGTGTGCAGGAGTTTGGGCTCTAGCTCCTGCTTGATCTAGAGTTTGTAGAGCAGGAGGCGTAAGGACTGTTGCACTGTCCTAACTAGTGTCATAGCTCTGACTCCATCCCCTTCAGAACTCCAGGGATCTGATTATCTCGGTCAGTTTGGAGGATAAAATATTGTAGATTTTTCCAGTATTCCCTTTGCAGGTTTTTCTTGCCTATACTACAGCCAAAGGCTCTTTAGCAAACACTAACCACTGCAGTCTGTTTTCCTGTCCACCCACAGAAACAGCAAGAGGTGCTGTTTTTGCTTTCTAATTTTGTGGCAGAACTGGATTTTCTCTTCCTTCTGCCCTTCTCAGCTAAGCATTGTTGAGTGTCCCACTCACCCATGGGAGGCCGCTGACAATCATGGGCAGGGCGCTGAATGTTTTGCACTCCCATTGCACATGGAGAGAGGTGTGTTATTATTATTGTTGTTGTTGTTGTTGTTGTTACTAAAATTGTGTATCTTGGGGAAACCCTGAAGGCCCTGGGGATGGGTGCAGGGGTGCTTGGCATTTAAATTTTACTTAGTTCCACCTTCGGATTTTCTGAGTTCTTGGGGTGTGTTAACTGCCACATCCAGTGGGGATGACTGCTTCGCAATGGCTTTATTCAGTCTGCCAGACTGCCTCCAAGGGGTCAACTTGCTCCTCCCTCGGCCAGGCCATTGCCCAAGATGTGGTGGCTGCTAGGTCTGGGATGGAGGTTGGGGGTCCAAGATCCAGGTGTGGATCGGGCTCTCCTCTCCCACCCTCTACATTCCGGCCTTAAGTCTAGCCAGGTTGTCTTGTTGATCGTACCACATCCGATTGTCTTGTTGATCGTACCACATCCGATTTTATATTCTGCCCTTGCTTAAGAGAAATTGCTTTTCCTTAGCAGAGTCAGACATACTCACTGTTGGGGGTGTCCTCTAGTTGGCCAGTGTTACGTGCCTCTCCTTCTGAGCTGGAGGTCTCTGGCTCAGGCAAGCTGGGGACATTGTGGTCTGAATGTCTGGTAGTCACTTAAGTCCATGCTTAGCTGATCTCCCTTTGCTGTCCAATCAGTCCTTATCAGGCCTTATCTTTTTATCCACTGACCATGCAAAGAGACATATGAAATGAACTGTTACTTTGAAATATATAATGACATCATTCTTGCCCATGGTCACGGCCACCCTGTTGCAACAGGTCTCCAGCTGACCTGTCTTGTCCATTTGATACAGTTCCCTCTCCCAACAACTCTCCCTTCCTTCCCTTTTCTCCTTTAATTTCCTAAAATAAAATGAAACGCAGGACAGGCAGCTGGGCTACCCTGCTTGCTTATTTTTGCCCGTGTCTCTGCTGCCCAATACTTACATTGGAACCACTCGGTTCTTTTTCTGGGATAGCAGGCAGCAACTGCACAGCTTCTGCACAAATCCTGCAATCCCCCTCTTCACCCTCTGCCAGCACAGCCTCTCCTTACAGGAGCTAGAGGACATTGACTCGGTGCAAGGCTGGCAGGTTGCGGTGCATTTTGCAGTCGTGCAGAGCTCATGTTTCCTGTCAAGCTGATTCCCTGGGAGAAAGGCGTCATTTCTGGGGGCAGGCTGAGGGACACCACTGCTCTGGAGGAGAGCTGAGGGGGTAGCATCTGTGGGATCTGGAGATGATGTGTCGCCCTCATTTGCTGGCTTCACTCTGATGCGAATGCCTGTTCCCTGTCTTGCTTGGCGTTCCAGAATGAGATAGGTGGCCATCCGGTGGTCATATTTTTTTAACCGTAGGGATTCTTTTACTTCTTCAGGGTTGTGGCCTAAGGCGAACATCAACTTTAGGATCTCAGGTTTTGGGCATTCTGGCAGCAGATCAGGAGGAGGAGGAGAAGGTGGTTTACCCTGGTGGAGCCATGGGTGCCGCGAGATTTCCTCTAGTGTTGGGCACTGCGAGTTGTTGATGGTGAGAAGTGTGCCAATCAGATTTTGCAGGTCTGTGGAGAAGGTATGGGGACAGTAGTGCCTGCCCTGCAGGATCTGCTGTTTCAGACGAAAGGGATGGATCTCCTTGAATGGTGTTAACCCCGCCATGACCTCATAGAGGATGACACCGAGCTTCCAAATGTCCCCAGCGAATAGCTGTCTTCTGCACAGCAGTGTTTCCTGGGCAGTGTCTGGCAGAGGGCTGCAGATCTTGTTCAGATTCTGCTCAGGAGCAATCTTGGTCCCCTCTCCAAAGTCGCAGATTTTAACTGTGCCATCCTCATCTAGCAAGATGTTATTTGATTTAAGATCCCCGTGAACGATGCCTTGTTCGTGGAGGTATTGAATAGCACAGATGATCTGCCAAAATATTCTTCTAGCCTCCTCCTCCTGCAGGCCACTGGTCTCCCGGATGTGATGTAGCAGCTCTCCTCCGCTCACGTATTCCATCACCATGCACACTTCCTCCTCTGTCTCGATAACTTGCAATAACCTGATGACATTCGGATGCTGCAGTGATTTCATGATGTTGACCTCTGACGCGATGTGATCAGAATTCCCTCCCTTTGGTAATACTTTGACGGCCACTGTCATTCCAGTGGACAAGTGCTGGGCCAGCATCACGTCAGCATAATTGCCCTTGTTGATTTTCCTTAGGATATGGTAATGATCTCTGAGCCTCTCCATATGGGAGGAGCTGGCCCAGAGGCCTGGAGATGACATTAGCTCGTTATGCTCACTCCCAAAAGTAGGCCTCAGGGATCAGCAGATTTTATCATCACTCTACCACCTAATCATCAAATACACAAGTTAGCTAGGAATCACAGAGTTTGCCTCAAACAAGAGGTTTCAATAAGACTGAAAAATCCACCCAGCCACAGCCTTGTATAGGTAAACCTTTGAAGTGACCTTACAAAGGCACAAAACTGCCCAGTCATGGCTTTATAAGGCTCACTTTTCAAGTAACCTCATAATGGCCCCTTGTGAGGTCAAAGCACAAAATGGCCCAGTCACGGCTGGCCATAACCCACATGGGTGTCTCATTTTTAGCCTCCACAACCTTTTGTGCTTTAATTTAAAAAAAAGGGATACAAATTTTTTTGTTGTTGTTAATGTGGCTTAAAGGGATTGACATTTAGTTTCTTAGAATTAAAAACTGGGAAGATCTTTAAAGTCCCTTTTATATCTGGCTTTAGAGTTGGTAATACCTTCTGTTTTGAAAGATCTCATGTTGTCTATGCTCAACACATCCAATTTCTTTTTAAAATTCTCACTGATTGTTCTCAACGTGATGCTACAACTTCACTGACATTGCAATAATGGAGATGATCCTCTTTATAAAATGCAATGACGTATTTTAATGGTGATACAGCTGACAGGAAGACCTCTTTTACCATAGTTTCCCCAGAAGATAATCATTAGGTTTATCATAAAAATACTTCAGATGTTGGAAGGAAATGGGTCGATATGTACCATGTTGAATGAAAAAGCAAAGCAAAACCCCTGTCAGCTAAGAATCCTCTGTTCGCTATCCCGCAAAACTATTCCTACAAAATGAGGGAGAAATGAAGTCATTCTCACAAACAAGCATGGAGCAATTTGCTTACCTACTGCTAGATCTACCAGTCATAAAGAGATCCTTGAGGTTGGATGGAAGCACATTAGGCAGGGACCACAGATCTCTAAAGAATACCTTTAGCTAAGCTAAATACATGATGGGTATTTATGAAAGGCAGGGTGAGTTTGCTGCATGACCCAAGAAGTACATGCATCACGAAAATAAAAGCCAAATATCACTATGTTTTTGGAAGCGCACAGTGTGACCTACAGGGATGGAACTTTACAAAGTCAGTACCCAAAAGGGAATGGAGGCTAACGCTATATGGAGCAGCATTTTGTATATTACAAAGTTTAGCTGGCACAAGTTCACATCAGAGGGTTTTCAATGAGATGCCCAAAGGAGATATCTGCAAAGTATACACAGAGCAGAAAGAAACTCAAATGCTTTCAAACAGAATGATTCAAGAAACCTGGGACTATGGGCTGTAAGGTGAGTACGAGATAACAGCCAGAGTACAGAGCTGGGCCCTTCCCTGGCAGCAAATCCTTTCCCTGCTGCTGGGTCACCCACCTCCCACACAGAAGATAGAGTCTGGGAGAAGGGATGAGAAAACATGATCCAATTAGATCCAAAACAAAAAGCTAGAGCAGGAAAGTAGGACTGAAAGATCCTCCAGGTAAATTGTAATGACAATAGAAGAGGGGCTATCCTGTCGGACAAGAAAGATTTTAAATCAAACAAAGGTTATAGGAAACAGAGCGGACAAAAGTTCAATTAAGCAAGAAGATAACAATTAAGCATTAGAACAATCTCGCATAGGAAGTGCAACGTGGGCTGACCTGGGCTGCATAGTGAGGCCCTGTTTTAGGAAAAAAGAATATAAAGGCAGAAAGGCACCCCTGCTCTGCAGGGCGGGTGTGAGTGGAGCCAGTTTCAGGGAAACCACCATGTAAGTGAGGCTTCGGCGATGTCACTACTGGAACCACAGACCTTGCACGTTCCGGGTATCCACGAGCCTCCACCTGCCCCAGCGTCCAGGACTGAAGCCAGCAGAGGGGTGGCCCCGGGGCCTTGCTGAGCTCCCTGCGCAGCGCAGTGGGGAAGTGTACATGGGAACTGCGGAGAAGATTCCATCAGCTGCTGGCCCTGCCACCCACCGTGGGTCCCACAGGGACCTCTTCAAGTGGTGGATCTGCCAAGCAGCTGCAGCGAGGGAGCTCCTGGGGTCAAGTTCATGGCGCTGTGCAGAAGCCTCAGCACCCCAAGGGCCAGTGCCGCACACCCCCTGCCTGGGGCGCTAGACCTGCCGTGGAAGACCCTGTCCTCTCCCTAGGGAGAATTCTGCCTGGTGAGTGCCACCTAATGGAGCCACCAGAGCCACGGGACACCCTGGTTGCGGTCTCTAAGCCACGAAACCACCTAGGGAGCTGGGCAACTCGTCTGTCCTTCCTTCCAGCCCTTGAGCCCCTCAGTTCCCCTGGGGATCCCCTGCTGTGCTCGCAGGCCTTTTGGTCCTGGTCCAGGAACGAGGCCTGCCCTGCTGGCCACTGTCTGGAAACCCCAGGCACGAGCGGTCACAGGTCCAGAGGTGGCACTGCAGCCGGCCCCTGTCACATGGAGCAGGGCACCCGGGTAACACAAATGCGCTAGCTTGGCTGCTGAATCCTCTGCACACGGCCACGCTGCATGGGGATGGGACTCGGGTGCTGCTGGAGGAGCAACCGGGGGCGCAGTACAGGAAGGCGACCCCAGGGACATCGCACCTCCCGGTATCTGTAGAGGACCCAGTGGCGACCCGTAATGTGACTGGTAGCTTTGTGGTCTGGCACCTGGTGCAAGTGGCAGCCTTCATTCTTAGCTCCACCAGTGGCCTATTCCTGGGCATCCTGGCTGAAAAACTAACGCTTTTTAGGACATGGCTACTGCGTGGAAAAGTCAGGCTCCTGCAGTAAATTCTTAGGCCTCCACCCACAGGTCTGCCTGCCCCGATTCCCAAAAACCTGTCCTCAATCCACTCCAGAGCCTGTGGCTGTGCAGCCTGAAGCCCAGTCTGCCACTCTCCACCCCCACGACCTGAAGGACCTGGGCCTCACTGATACTGGGGACTGCATGGTGGACTCAGCCTGCCCAAGACTGGGCCCAGCTCTGTAGGACCTTCCCAATTTCCAGCGTTGTCTGCTGCAGTCTGTTCCACCCAGCTGGACCTGTGTCTATAGCTTCTATCTCTACAGATGGGGTGCTAGACACCAGTGGAAGCGTTCTATGGAGACACCCCATGGTCAGGCCTGAACTAGAGGAGATTTGAAATTTAGGGTTAAAGGTTAAGGAGCAGCAGCCAATCTGACCCCTGAATGCCTTAAGTAGGTGCTTCTGTGTCTACTAACTAGAAAAAGGGTCACTGGGCTGTCAACTTCAAGATATGTTGTACTGTCATGCGTGGTGGTGCATGACCATAATCCTAGCACTCTGGAGGCTGAGGCAGGAGTATCACTGTGAGTTTGAGTCCAGCCTGGGCTACATAGTGAGTTCCAGGTCAGTCTCAACTACATTGTGAGACCCTGTCTCAAAAAAAGAAAAAAAAAAAAAAAGAAAAAGAAAAAGAAAAAAAGATATGTGGTAGTTTTGTAACTTGATGGTTTTATTCTGTTTTTAAGCCAAAATGAGGTAAAGCAACTTTCTTACTTTTCTTTTGAAATTATATTTTCCATTTTTAGGCAAAACACTCAGACATCTTCAACCTTTTCCTACATAATTTGGAATGCCATTAAAAATGGATGCTCGACATCTGAAGAAAATTAGTTGCAATGAACACGACTTTTAAAAGTTTGTCTGTCTCATTTTAGGCAATCAGGGTTCTTGAGAATCCTGAACGCAGAATAACCATTGTGATCATCATGAATGTGACTCATTTCAGGTGTGCTGTGAATGCTATCAGGAATCAAGTGCGTCTTGGAAGTAAGTAATCAGAGAGAAGAGAGATTTTGGCAAATGTTTTTAACTATGGGGAAATATAAATGTGTGTCTAGTACCCATAGGTGGCTATTTTTTGATTTGACATGAATATTTAATTTTTAAAATGGTGAATTTCATCTTTGTGTGGTTTTCATATTTGGCTGGCCAAGATAGTATACGAGGTGACTATTCCAGGAAAGAAAATATCATAGCATTACATCAGAAAAATAACTGATTAAATTGTAATCAATACAGTTAAGGAGCCACTCTTTAATACAAAAATTCAGAACAAACCAAATGTATATAATGACATGTTATTAAAAGCCATTTGACAACTTATTTTAAAAGTAGCAAATGCGGGATCGTTTCTGGTGACTTAACTCCTTTGGGCCTTTGTTCCTGTCTGTAAATGGACAAGGCTTGTAGATATTGCCAAGATTTCCCAGGTTTGGCAGAATACAATTAAAATGGCACTTTTTCAGTTTTAAAGAAGTGGCATCTATGTGCCACACCAAATTTTTAATATCACATCATGATAATATTCTGCTTTTACAAATTGTGTTTGCATGTCTTTAGTTATATCAAGTGTGGTTTGTGTGGTACTGGTTGGAAGGGCTTCCTCATCCCCCAACTGAAGGCTTGGAAATTATTAAAGGAATGTTTTGACTTAAACGATGAAAGAAACAGTCTCCCATGAAAAAGAAAAGATTGTAGGAAACTCTCATGTCCCCCCGAGCCCCACCCACACAGCCCCACCCAGGAGGACCCTTGTCACAAGTGATGACCCCGCATGGGCACATCGTAATCACCCAAGTCCACGGCACCACGACCCAGACAGGCGTCCAGCCTCTTTGCAGGCCTCCATGGGTCCAATTACCTTGACGGATCTGTGGGTAAATAGGGAGGACTTCTCCTTGTCTTCCCTTCATGGCTGCTTTTCTTGCCTGATGTATAGCCGAAAGGGCGCTAACCATTACAGGCACTAAATCGCTGATGTCTGCTTCAGCTGTGCCTCAGAAATGGCAAGAGGGAGCTATTTCTCTCTACTGGCTCCCAGAGAGTCACGCTGTTTCCCGGTTTGGTGGTTTTTATTCCTTCTGGTCTCCTCGGCTAAGCATTGCTGGTTGCCCCCATCCACCTGTGGAGCCCACTGAGATGGGTAAGGTGCTGAATGTTTTACGTACTGCACTCCTGTTGTATGTGGGAGACATAGGCAGCCTGTCGTTATTATTGTTGTTAA